GAATTTGCTATTCATAGAACATTTTCTTCTCAAACAGCATGGATGGAATTGAGTTCTACTTGCTACTTGAAGTTGAATAGAATTAGAGGCTCTCTATAAATAATGCAACTAGCTTTAGTTTATCTTTCTCAGCTGCAACATTAAGGAGACAACATTCTTCCAACATTTTAATTTTTTTAAACTTCGTGCCGCATATGGTAGTTCTTGTTCCTTATCTTATATTTCAAAATCTCTATAGTGGTTATTTATAGCTCTCATCTATCCTCGTTCCTTAATCCTGAGGCTTAGGGTTAGATGTTATAGTTTTACCAGGAGGCAGATCAAAGATAAAAAGGTAATAAAAGAGTTGGGGTAAAATCTTATGGTGGAGTTCCATTGATTATCAAGGATGATGTTGTTGGTTTTAATTGTTCTTCTATTGAAAATAATATTTCTTATATTGGAAAGGGAAAGATCTAGTGTTCTGATTGATTCTCAAGAGGGTATTTATAACATCAAGAAATTGATTCTCAAGAATAAGAATGCCAGAGCTAATGACGTGCAAGCCTCCTCTTTATCAAGTTTAAAATTGAAGGATCAAAGATTCACATCATCATCTGCAATGGAAATCACTAAATTGATAGATAATGATCATTATGGATTTATTCCTAAAGCTAATAAAGAAGATGTTGCTATTAAAGGTGGTTGTCTAAACGTCTCAAAAATATCATCTAAGAAATTTGATGAAGTTGATCAGTAGCTTAATTCATCAATTGTTCAAAATATTTGGAGTAAACCTTCTTATATCAAGGTTAATCATTTAGTTCTAGATATGAAGATCTTTGAAGTTGGTTTTGCTGAAAAACTTAATTGTAAAGATTAAATGGTGAATATACATATTCTCCATAATTCTATGGTTATATTGGGTTTTGGAATAAAAATTCCTTTTATGATAAGTTTTTAATTAAGAAAGCATTGGAAAGAATGCAATTGCATTAAGATAAAGAAAAATCTAGCACAAGCTAGAAAAGAAAAAAATAAAAAAACTTATCAATCTAACATAGGAAGGGAAACTAAAAAAAAAAACTTAAGAAAAAAAGTTATCAATCTTTTGAAATTTCTTTCTCACTCAGACAGAGAGACTATTATAAATACTTTAGACATGGTAGGAGGTGAAGAATTTGTTATTCATAGAACATTTTCTTCTCAAAAAACATGGATGGAATTGAGTTCTACTTGCTATTGGGGGTTGAATAGAATTACAGGATCTCTATAAATTAATCCAGCTGACTTTAGTTTATCTTTTTTAGCTGCAGCATTAAGGAGCAACATTCTTCCAACATTTTAATTTTCTTAACTCTGTGCTGCATATGATAGTTCATGTTCCTTATCTTATATTTAAAAATCTCTATAGCGTTGGAGGATGACACAATTCAAATTTTCAAATAAAAGACAGTTCAACAAATATAACAGACTTTCCCTTCTGATTAGCAGAAAGTCTTGGGAAAGTAAGACAACAAAACATTGAAGCTTTAATACCTAGGGGGTAATTGTAGACCCACCTTCAACTATGTTTTGAATTGGCAAAATTGAATAGACATAGCATAAGTATTTTTCGACATTCTGGATCAAATTTTGACACTTTCAAAACTCAATGGAGCTACTATAATTAAATTCGAACAATTTTTTTAATATTCCAAAAAGGAAAGAAGATAAAGAAGAAACATAATAAGTAGCTTAGTTTACAACATGATTCGTAAACAAAGAAAAGTAGATTAAAGCACTAGGAGCCTTACGACCTAGAGAGAAAATAGAACACAAGAAAAATAGAAAACATGGTACCAAGGTTTTAGTAAACTGTAAAATTGTGATAATATTCTCTAATGTCTTTTCTGAACAAAGTTTGCTATCTATAACCCTTAGGAAGCAAAATGACTAAAAATAGAGAAAATATGATAATGGTTGTACTATAGTCTCTAGTTAGTTATAAAAATAGAAAAACGTAGGTAGTGGTAGTGGTAGTGGAAGTGTAAACAGGTCATATGGGGATCATGTGTGCTTGCGGAATTAGTGAAGTAACGTGATTCCACATCAGGTCAGAGTAGTCTGTGAAAGTTCGAAGAGGTTATAAGGCCTCAATGAACTGTCTCTAAGGCATATTAAGACGAAAGCAATACTATCACTTGATGCAAAAGTTTATAAATTAGACTTATAATGACTACTAAAATATTATTTTAGTGTTATAAATCAAAATATGTCTTATAGAAATTTAAGGGTTCTATCTTTGTTTATTAACCAAATAGCCATTGATCCTTTGACTATTACATATCTAGATTTCACTATTAATGCATTTTGAATTGAGATGGTGCTAGTCTGCTAAAAAGTGTAGAGTCGTGATAGTTCATTTAGCAATTTATTTCATTAATACACATAAAATTTTTCAAAATATCATAAAATTATAATCATTAACGTGGACTCCAAATATTTGATCAAATTAAAATATTTTCACTTTACACTATAGACACCTAATCAAATGTCATCTTAATATTCATAATGCATTGATTTTAGTATTTTACTTGTTTCTGCATACAACCATTTAAACAAAAATAATAATTCATATGCATTCACTTTATAGATAATCAAATAACATCAAAGTATTTACTTTACATTGCATTTCTTTTTTAACTAATCAAACAACCTCTTAATTAAATTATTAGATAATAAAATAAAATATATTTTTTTTAATTTTTAATTTTAATTTAATTATTTTATCTAACAATTTAGTTATAATAAGAAATAATACGGGGCATGTTAAATCAACTATACTTGTCGAAAGACTAGTAACACAATCTTGATATTAAACATATCATAATATTCCAATACAATTTCATTCTATATAAAAAAATAGATTTTAATTTAAATATTATTTTCAACTATAATTAATTTTATTTTAACAAAAAAAAATACAAACTTATTATTTTATGAAATATATTTAATAATATGTTTTCTCATTAAAAAAAAGGTGTGCACACAAACTTTAAATTTAATATCTCATACTGCAATGCAATTTGGCAATGAAAACCTTACGTTTTTTAATGCAAAAATCATAAATTATTATATTCAAATTAAAAAATTAAGAATTGAAAGGCCACCAAACAATCAAAATTTAGAGGAAAATTAGTTCACATGCTCTGATTATTTTAAAAATCATTTAACTTATTTTAAAAATTATTGTTGATATATCCTCAAAAAATTATCTTGATCAAGCACGAATCTCGAGGCAAAAGCAAGTTGGAATTTTTTTCTTTTTTTTTTTAAGTTGGAAATTTTTGAAATTAAATTCGGGACAATATGAATTCCGATTTCAACAAACTTACAGCCAAACTCAACATCTTGAAAATATGAACCCAGTAACACCAAATTCGACTCAAACTGAGCCCAAATGACTCCAAATCCAAGACTCAAAGCATCATTTGAAGGTTCAAATCATAATTTGGATTACCAAAAGGTTTCCAAACATGACATGCTTATAGTCAAATCAAGTAGCTCGACGAGGCGAATCCAATGAGTCCAAAATCTTCAAATTTTGATATCATTAAGACATTAAAATATCCAATAAACGGTCTATGATCAAGGGGATCAATATCGGCCGTCCATTCAAACCACTCCAACCTTACCCTTGATATTCTCTCTATTTGCTAGCCATATCACTCTCAGAAAATTATAAATAAAATCCTCATTTTTCACAATAAAGGGGGAGAGGAGGAGGAGATCCAAGAAAGCAAGGAAGCAAGGAGGAAAAGAAGAGATGATAGGAAGAGAAGTCAAAGATTTCTCTTGCCAACAAGTTCCTCCTCGACAACCTCCTGGCCACCGGCTGTCATTAGACTAATACCTGACATTAAACTTCCTCCGTGGTTGAACCTTCCCTCGTAGCAAAACTTCTACCTGTCGTCAGACTTTTGTGGGACTTATACCCGAAGCCGGACTTCCACCCATCGTCGAACTTTCGCCCGTCGCTAGACTTTCGTTAGACTTATACCTGACGCCAGATTTCCACCCGTCGTTGGACTTCCATCCGTCATAGGACTGTCGTTAGACTTATACCTGACGTCGGACTTCCGCCCGTCGCTGTACTTCTTCCCGTCGTCTGACTTTCGTTAAACTTATATCTGGCACCGGACTTTGGCATGCGCCGGACTTCTATCCGTCGTTGAACTTTCATCAGACTTCTACTCGACATCAGACTTTCGTCCATTGTCGGAGTTCTGTCCGACACCGAATTTCCATCCATCGCTAGACTTCGACCTCTATCACCCGCCAATTACGATCCCTCCAACCACCGTCACCAAACTACAGTCTTTCTGACCTCCATCACCTGTCGACTATGATCTTACCGACCAAAAAATATGTCAATAGTGATAATTTCAATTGACATCACGTAATGCATTTTATATGATGTATATTTATTACATCAAACCAAAGTCTTCCCCAAGGATTAGCCTACAAATACTACTAAATTCTTTCAAACTGGGCAAGTCCCGTAATTTTTTTCCCTTTTCAAGATTTTTCTTATAAAAATAATGGTGTCTCTTATGATTGCTACACCCTCTCTTTTATTTGATTGTATCCTGAATCCTTGTACAAAGCTAAGACGCTAAACTTTATTATTTTTTTTTTTATTTTTTTTAAGACGCTAAACTTTATATTTCTCTATCGTCGTGAATATTCCAAGACGCAACACTTGTAATATATAAATAATCAATAAAATTTTCTATTCCAGATCTTAAAATAAATTCAAAATCTTTATCAAATTTTAGTCTGAAAATCTCAGTCAAATTTTATCTAAGACTTAGTTTGTAAAAACTTTTGATTCTTACTTTTTTGATGATTTTAAAAAATTTAGTAAAAAATTGTTATAAAAAGCAGTAAGAAAATTATCCCAAATGAAACCTAAGTTATCAAAAGATTCTCCAATAAATCAATGCAAAACCAGAATATTAAAAAGCATAACACAAAAATCATCTAACAATTGGCCTTCATAAATTGCCTTCATAAACAGCAATAGATAAACAATTCAAAAGTTTCTCCAATGCAGACTCTCATCAACTAAAATATAGAAAAATATCAGATAAAAAGACCAGAAAAAAAAAATATGTTCTTAAATTATGTTTCAAAGTTCTGTGTCCAGTGAAAGGCGCTGCTCTGATACAGAAATGAGAAGAAATCTAAAGAGATTCAGAACTGAAGAAGAGGATCTATCCATGGATAAAATCTCTTAAATTTTCAGCTGGGAATAGCAAACTTGCTAATTGTGAGCGTTAAACAGAAGAGCACCTTTCCTAAGCTGCAAAACAAATATACATAAACTTTAATGAATGGAGCATCCCAAACTTGTGAAGAGGAACACAGGTTTTTCACTGATATTTATTTATGTAAAACTCATTTGTGTTCTTTGATTTAAATAATTGAATGAATTAGAACAAAATTTTAAGAACTTGACATATAAAGGAACGAGCTTAAACATTAACTTGTTTATTCATTTATGCTAGTGATCATCCTGGTTTATTGTTTAGCAAGTATCTCATTATGAGCTACAACAACAATAACATCAAGTCTTTATCCTACTATGTGGTTGGCTACATGAATCTTTTTTCTCCATTGTGCCCTGTTAAAAATATTTCGTTATGAGCTAAATGGAGAAAAAATTGTGTTAGGATATCTTGATGCAAAATGTATTAGAATGAACTTCAAAGCCATTCAAATTATGTTGAGGCTAGTGCAATTCAGGAGATTACATACAACATTAATCCCGGCTTAAATCGGATGACTTTGAAAATCATCTTGATATATTTAGCATCAAGATATCCTAACTGTTAAATCACAGCCGTCCATAGTCCTTGATCCCACGGCCAACATGAGGACCTGTGGAGGCTCACCTGGATCATGCCGATCTCCTTCTATATTTGGATGTCTGATTTAGGAAGGATTGTATTAAAGCAATTATGCATGATTATGTAGTTATTTATTTTTTTATTAAGACATATTGTATAGATTTATAAATATGGATAGTTTTGTATAATAAAATTAAGTATTTTCCCTCTCAAATTCTCTAAATTTAACACGGTATTAGAGCCAGATTCTCACCACCGGCCTTCATTGTCATAATCACTGGGATATACAAATCAAAGGAAGTGGAGAGGAGCAAGCGGCCTTCGTTGCCGTTAGAGATCGAATAGAGACAATCAGAGGAGAGGGGAGCGATAGAAGAGGGAGATGGTTTTAGGAGTTAAACATCACATCCTTCTGTCATGAATTCACAGATTATCTCCCAAAATTTGCCTTGGAATAAATATGGCAACACGCTAGAATACTAATACCATTACGTTAAAATATCTTAATTTTAATGACAGTGAAACGACAAGATTGTAAGTTTGCTGATACAATAAAACAAGCTGAGAATCTCTCGAACAGAATTAGTCCCGAAGTGAGGCATACCTGGGCCAAGTGGCGATCCTTCTTCAGCTCTTGAGTTCTCATTCTGTCACCAGATGATCTAGCAATCCTCTACATGTGCAAAAATTCAAATTTAGTGCTAACATAGGAAAATCACATGATGACAAAGCACTAAAGAGCATAGCAGAACAAAGCCAAAAAAAGGTCATAATAACTAACACCCATCAAGTGATAACCTGCCATCAATTTGGTCTTTCAAGAATTCTTTCTCAAGCATAAAAATTTAAAACTGACAACAGTAATCAACTTGAGGGATATCTTTAATAATAGACACCCAAGGGATGATTTACAATCTAACCTTTTGTGAGGCTGATAGACTACTTTCAGCATGTGGTATAACATCAAACACATTATGCAGTAGTTCATTATCCTGGATAAACATTGGGAAAATAATTTGTAAATAATTGAGGGATATTTTTAAACCATTATTAAAAAATCAGAGATCCTGACAAGAATTTCAAAGACAAGTAACCTGTGCGTGCTTGAGGAAACCGCTTCCAAGAAAGTGCTTTAGGAAGTTCAACTGAAAAGCAAATAGAAGCGATAGTCATAAAAAAAGCTTATGCATCAATTAACTATAAAAGATTATATCAACCAAGGCATCATCAACCACCAAGAAGAACAATGTGGGCAATGTTTATATTTAAGAGTGGTGATAGAGTCCATTGAGGATATGTAGAAAGAAGATTTAACACGGTATATAAAAATAGAATGGAAAGAAAAACAGCAGCAATAAAGCTGGGAGTTAGAGTTAAGGCCACAAGGGATATAAAGCAAAAAAAGGCTAAGAATTAAGGAAAAGAAGGCGCAACATTATCTAAAGTAGCTTAGGCTTCATTTGGGTCGGCTTTTTCTGCTTCTTAAAGTAGCTTTTTAGTACAAGAAAAAAAAATTCATACTTAAAAGTTGCTTTAAGAAGCAGTAAGAAAGCCGTCCCAAATAAGCCTTAAAATGGAATGGATAACTTTGAATTTAAGCAAAATAAAGCATTAGAAAAGACAAATCTCATGATGGCAATGTTCATAATGTCTGATAAATTTTCATGCCTGAATCAATTTAGTCCAAGTTGAAGTTGTCAGCACTCCTTGCTTCTTGGAAACTACTAATGATGTCTCAGGACGTTTACCATCCTGCAAAGAACATTTATCAGCTCAGGGATGCAAATATAGTTTATGATCATATACCAAGATAATTAAAGTTTGTTTGTGAACGTTAAAATATAATATTTCAAAAAATAATACCATAAGATAATCATAGATCTTTTGAAATGTGTCGCGTTGAGCATTCAAACATTTTTTATCAGTACCCTTGCCCCCTGCCTCCATTGAAAGATCTGAAACGAGTGAGGTTATTTTTTCTTTCAATGACAATAAGTAAACGAACCATTTTGGTTTTGAAGGCATGTCCTCCAGACTCTCAAGATCATTAGTCACAGTAGATAATTTGCCAGCTATCACTATCTCAAAAATGACAGCTATGGCTTCACCGGCAGCTATTCGGACTGCACGGTCGCCTTTTTCAAGAAGATTACAAAGAAAAGAGATGATCCTGCAATGAATTTTTTTAAGGAAATTTAATTGTACGACAGCAAGAAAATGACACTAAAAGAAGCTAAAAAAGGTTCAAGCTTGACTTACTCAGTCCACATATCCAGATCGACCCTCCAACCACTCAAGGTTGTCAGAAGAAATGACCATGCACATAGAGCTGCCACCAATACAGCTGAGCTCGCTTTCGTAATTGTTCCAGCCTGTGAGGGGAAAATGAAACAAGACGTTGGGATATTCATCCAGGTTACACAAACAAGTTCACTCAACAAAGCCACTTACCCAAAACTATGCTCAGCTAGCATGAAAAAAAAAAAAACTTTTGGTAACCAGCTAATCAAGCTCACAGAATAAACCACATTAAGAAATCATGGTGGATGCAGCTTATCTTAGGCTTCGTTTGGGACGGCTTTCTTAATGCTTCTTAAAGCAGTTTTTTAGTACAAAAAATTAATTTTTCTACTAAAAGGCTGCTTTATGAAGCGGTAAGAAAGTCGTCCCAAACGAAGCGTTAATCTGTTGGTTGGGTGCTTTGGCTTCCAACCAAGAGGTTCCGGGTTCAAAGCTTGCGTATGTGATGTGTGTGTGAATTTACCTTAATTGGCCAAAATTTTCCAAATAAGAAAGAAATCATGGTGGTTACTGCTTCTTAGCAAAGTTTTTTTGCAAAGAACTAAGACCTTGAATACCTTAGAAAGTGATTTTGGATGAATGATCTCCCATATAACTTTCATAATTCTATCAGTTTCCTCCCAGTTATTTGAACCAACGAAAGTGACAATTGCTAGAGAATCCAGTACCTACAAACATAACTCAACAAAATTACAAATGCAAAAAATAAATAAATAAAACAAAAAATTAATAGGTCAAGTTCTTTATTACATACGAAAATCCTAACTGCATCAGGTCCTGACACAAGAGCACGAGAGAGAGGTGGTATTGATTCCTCCATAATTTCATGTGTATTGCTGCCAGTCCCTCCAGTGATGGACAGCAAACCTTTAGATTAAACATGAAAAGAATCAAAGAAATTTTCAATTACCACCACTAGAGTTTCAAGGAGTTGAGCAATACCAACAGCACGGGCAGCCAGGCAGGCCTCCTTTACAGAACCCCGTTTCAACGAAGTGATATATTGATGTAATAAAGTAATACATCTGCCACACGAAAATCATCAAAGTCAAGGGAATAAAATGAGAAACAAGCCAAAAAGTACTATCTGAAGGTTAAATATGCAAATGCCTAAGAGATGATCTGAAAGTTAAAACCAAATTATAAATGTCAAGTTCTCAAGCCATGAATGTAGAATAATTAATGCAAGTTATTTAAAAAAAAAACTGTTACATGGCCATATTTGATAGAAATTATCTAACAATGTTATCAAGTACGATGGCCTATAACAATATGAATAACACCATAAGGAATTTACCTGTCCTCTATGAAGTCAAGAAGCACATGGCCTTCAAATGCACTAACAAGCCCAGCCAAAGCCATCTCTCTTGTTGAACCTCTATCAAACAAAAAGAATAAACAAGAAATGGATCTTTCTTAGATAAGAAAATCGAGAGGAGAAAAACTTATAGCAGAACAATCTAAAAAGCATAAAGCACTGAGTTCTTCACTTGAACAAATCAGTACGTCACAAAATGATTGAGAATATAATGGGGAACAAAGTTATTGCACATTAAAACTGAAGGAAATTTAGTTTTTCTGCATGAGGAAGCTACCAGCATGTGCACAAAAGGCAAGGAATTGCTCTATTATAATTTGCTACCAAAGTACTCTCATAGATAACCATCAAATGTGCCAATTCTACAAGAAGATTGCACAATAATCTATTTTGTGGACAGGAAGATCTTAGCGAACCGTTTAGCTCGTATGTGGAAGTCCCTTCAGGATCAAAATACCATGAACCACAAAGTAAAAAAAAAAACAAGCACATGAGCATCGAGAAGACACAAAAGCCAAAAATAATGTGCAATAAAGAATGCTCATTAGCCCATCATAAAATCCAAGTACACTCGATCTTAATAAAAAAGAAGGCCATAAAACCCCTCATAAAAATGTTTTACCAAACAAATATCATCTTTTTATTGCACACACTCTAAAACTTAGGTTCAGAGGATATGTCATAGTCACCAATCCACAAAGAAAATCTTGAATGCAAATCGAGGATTTCACATACACATGCAAACTATCATAATAATTAGCTTTATCCCAACTATTTGGTGTCAATTTTATTAATTGTTGTTTTCCATTAGTTCCTATTGAGTGTTGCTTGAAGTATTAAACACATCCTTCACAAATTATTTTAAATAACCTCTATCCATAAATCTTATGACCACTCATTTTCTTTCATAATCCTCTAACACTATTTTATCAATTTTCCTAACATGCTCATTTTCCAAAGCATCAAAATCTAATTTCACTCGCCTTCTTTAATATATGTTAAATATATATGATTCTAATATTTACTCTAATATAATCATTTCTCAATTTGTCATTTCTAATTTTTTTATGTAATCATCTTAACATATTTAAAATTCTATCACATTTAACTTTAGACATCACTAACTTTTTAACTGTCCAATTGGATCCATACAACATCATCAACCTATTTACAAATTTATAAAATTTACCTTTAAGCTCCATGATATCATCTCATCACAAAAAGATCTGGAGACACTTCTCCATTTTGATGATCCAAGATTACCTCTAGAACTTATATCTTCATCAATATTTTCAATTTTCTACATAATACATTCAAAATACTCAAATATAGCACACTTAGGTATCAGACTGACTTCTAATAACATTGAATGACAATTGTCAACATCAGATATAATATAATTATATATCAAATGCCTACTCTTTATTCAAATAATTTTAAGGCCTTTATCTTCAAAATATTTTCTTAATTGTTTGAATTTTTCATTTATTTTAGAGGATGTCTTACCAATTATTATTGCATCATCTACAAAAAGCATACATCAAAGCACATCACTTTGAATATCATTTGTAAATATCACAATAAACAATACAAAAAAAAAACCTAATCACTTCACTGTTAATGCATTCAACTTAACTAAAATATTTGGATCCCTTACCCCTAAACTTAGCTATTCTATATATATCTTGTTTTCTCCTCCTTCAACACCGAACATATCATATAAGACATAAGAAAATTATAACTTTTCATATAATCATCACTTTCTTTCTAAGTCTTTTTAGTTTTCTTATAATCAATATAAGCCTTGGTAGTATTCAATTTTTGTTAATTGTTAACAATGTGTTTCTTTGTAAGATCTTGAAAAACCAAATCATTAGCATCATAGAAATCCTCATCACATTTTTCACAATTTATCATGAGTTGCTAATCAAGTAAAGCTAAAACATAATTGTTACCAAAATTCACTAAACATACCAAGCCAAAATTTGTGGCAATTTAATGGACCAACCGATTTGATTGGAAGGGAATTAGAAAGTTTTCTAATCAAGAGGGAGCTATTTATGAATGTTCTTAATCAAAGGGGAATTATTTAGTAAAGTTTTAATTACAATTGGGATGGAATTATTTAGGGCAAGAGATCTAATTTGAATTCAAAATATAATAGGGAATTATTTAGGGAATGAGAGGAGGAATTGTTTAGGAAAGTTTTAATTACAATTGGGAGGGAATTATTTAGGAAAAGAGATCTGAATTGAATTCAAAAATGAGAGGACATTATTTGAGGAAAGGGGTTTAATTTGGGAGGGAATTAGGGGAGCCTATTTAAGGCTAACAATAGGTTGATTTCAGAATTATGATGTTATTTGCTAAATTTACATTGTACTTGGGGAGCTTTAGGGTCTAGCCCACGGCTAGGGATTTGGGAGAGTCGGATCTTCCTCTCTAATAGAAGATCCATTGTATCTTGTTATTTTATTCTATATATCACCAATTAAAAAGAGTTTTCTCTTATTATTGCTCTTAATTCCTCTTGGAGATTGTGTTTGGGAATGCTATAATTTAATTTCATCCAAGGGAGATAGGATTTTTACAAGTACTTTCTATTAAATTTAAGGCTAACAATAGGGCGCTTTCAGGATTATGTTTTAAGTTGTTGAAATTATAATTTTCATAGGTAGTGAGGACACTAGCCGCCAGCTAGGGATTTGGGAGAGCCGGTTCTTCCTCTCCAATTGAAGATCCAATTGTCTCTTGTTATTTTCTTTCATATATCCTGCAATAAAAATAATTTCTATGTGTTCTTCTTCCTAAGTATCGTTCGCTGATTTCGAGGAAATTATATCTACTTTTCTATCAAATTGGAATCAGAGAGAGGTTTTGGAGAGATGACAACAAAAAAGGTGGACGCATTGCAAGGTGAAGTGGAGCAAATCAAGTCCTCGATGGAGGAGATGTTTTCAACCATTAAATGAAGGATTTCAACCATGGAGAATCAGATGGAGAGCCGATTTGAAAAGTTGGAGGGGATGAAGAGGAAGCTCATGGAGATGCAATCCAAAATTCCACTAACGGTTCCGATTGCAAATCATAACCAATATTTGATCAGAATTCCCTTGGCCGAATCTAAGGGGAAGGAGATCGGATGGAAGGAGTTCGACAAGGAGAGTTTCTTTCATCAAGAACCGCCTCCTAGGACTCTGATAAGGGGCAAATCAATGTTTCCGAATGGGGGAAAGCAAGGAGAGAATTTTATGGTGGAGGTGGTGAGATGACCAACCACTATAGGAGGTATTTTGGTCAAGTGGAGTGGGTGAACGGGGATGGAGGGGGTCAAGCCGAGCCGTGGTGATCAGGTCATGCAAGGAGGATGGAAGCCTATGCTTGATGCACAGGGGAAATCGTTGGAGGGGAGGAAGTTGGAGTGAAGATGTTAGGGTGAGGAAGTGGAAGATTTAGATATTTGAAGAGAAGGATGCCCATGGGTGGGCATACCTGGTGGAGACAGATACATCAGGATACGACTTATCCTAGGGGAAATACTCATACAGGATCATCGACCCATTGCTTATTTAAGATAGGTGCTCACAATCATGGTGAGGCTCAACTGCTCAAGTCTGTATACAAGCGGGAGTTGATAGAAATTATCTTAGCCATCCAAAAGTGACGACCCTATTTATTGGAGTGACACTTTATCATCAGGACATATAAGAGGAGACTGAGGTTTCTACTAGAGCAGATGATCATGATTAAGGAGCATCATAGGTGGTTATTCAAATTATTTGGATATGATCGTCAGGACTAGATAGTTCCCATCCTTCCATCATTAGGATAAAGTGGCACTTTAGAAGGGGAGTATTGATAGACTGACCGATTTGATTGGGAGGAAATTAGAAAGTTTTCTAATCAAGAGGAAGTTGTTTAGGAAGG